AATTTGAGATTGATAAAAATATTACTTTTATGTATTACTCAAAATCTAACATTTTTGGCGAGCGGAGTTTAAACTTGAAAATTTCAGCAGGACTTGAGGGAGCAAATTAAAATAGTTTGCTACCCACTTTCTTTTGTGTGATTTATTTTTTAAAAAAATTGAAACTTTAACTCTGTAAAAACATTGAACACTTCCTATATATGTCGAATTATCTTTGCCACCTTCCAATTACTATTAGTCGTATTATAAATCCCTGCATTTTTCGTTTCAAAATATATTCACATACCTCTTGTTCATGTTAATCATAAGATTTTTCTCGCTTTTAATAAAAAAACACTCAATTATAAACCTTTTTTTAAGTAGGGAGTACTTTTTTAATACTCCGTACTTTGTGAAGTAAAATTCTGAATTTTTCCTAGCGAGAGAAATATTACACACTTCATCTGCCTCATATCTTTCTTCTCATTTTAACTTTTTTTTTTGTCAATATTTTAAGATTTTGACTAGAATGTACAGAAAAATATACTCCCTCCGTTCCTAAATAAAGTTTCTCTTTCGTTTTTTCTTTGTCCCTAAATAAACTTCTCTTTTATATTAAAAAACTCCTTTTACCCCTTACTTTTTCATACCCTACCTATCACATCATACCTTTTTACTAATAATCTACCTATCACATCTTACTTTAACACATCACATCAAGGGTATTTTTGGAAAGTCAACACCAAAATATCCATCCCTTAAATCCTCAAAAAGTCAAAATTAGAACTTTATTTAGGGACGAGTATTAAATTTTGATATATACTGTATCTAACATCATTAGATTAATTTTGTAATCTAGTTTTGTAGTAGAAATATTTGCACTAAATAACATTAGAACTTAAGTCATTTCCCTAAATAGCACTTAAGTTGTTTTATTCTCTAAATAACACTTAATAATGTCCATAATGTCCTGTGATGGCAAAATTTACTTAAATAATGACTAATGCATAATGACTAAAAGTACTACATTGGGAAGAAAAATACATGTGGTGCTATTTAGGAAAAGTCATTATGTTTTAGTGCTATTTAAGTAAATTCCTTTTTGTAGTATTGTACCCTTATAATCTATGTTAATATATAAATAAAGATATATAAATAGTCAAAGTATTATATTGGAGACCGTGAATATGAAACAAAAGTTATGAAGGGAGCGAGTATATATATACAAGTTGAAATTAAATCTACATATGTTTGACTTTGTATAGGATTTCAAGCCAATCACTCTCAGCCCACGGAACGCCTTCCTCCCATTCTTTGTCCAAAATGGGAGCTTCACCAATGGAGAATTAGGTGAAAACAAGAGGATGATCAAAACGGCGCCGCCTCCGGCACGGAGGAACATGCACATCACGGTGGTGGAGCCGCGGTCCAAAGACGACGAGGCTCACCTGAAATGCACGCTTGCAAAGTATCTTGACACAATTGCCCAACGAGTCAATTACCACATAGGTACGTAAGATATACGGAGTATATGTCAAGTTTTGACTTTTTGTATTTAAAATTAATAATTTTTTTACTATAAGTTAATAAGATTAATATAAAAATTTTAATAGATTTATTTGTTGATAAACTTTCAAGAAATTATTTTATCTAATAAATATCTCATATTAGATGAGAGAGAAAAAAGACTAAAGTTGGAGTACAACATAGAAAATATACCAAAATAAAAATTTCATGTTTTTATTCTCAAAATAAGAGTATCCGTATAGAAGTTCAATCATATATGCTAATTTAGGATACTAAAAAATACTCCCTCCGTCCCATAAAGATGGGAACATTTGGACTAAAGTAGTAAAATAATGGAGAGATAATTTTGTATTGATTTTTCAAAAATACTCTTGATTTGATGTAAAAGTAAGATTTGTATGTATATTATTAGAAAAAAGGTATGATGTAATAGCTAGAGTATGAAAAAGTAAGGAATAAAAATGGTTTTTTAATAAAAATGGGACGGACTTTTAGAAACACGATTCTTTTGAAATGTGAATAACTTTTTGGGACGGATGGAGTATTATGAAAGGTTCCATATTTTTTCTTTTAATTAATATCAATCGGGCACATGAAGTGACAGGACAAATCCAACTTTATGTTTAAAAGTATAAAGGGCATAAAGTAATTTTTTGGATTGCATATTCCATTTTTAGAAAGAAGAAATGGTATATGCAAGTTATTATTTTTATATTCCATCCTTCCCTAATTAAACTTCCTTTTTTGACTTTTTGAGGATTTAAGAAACATATATTTTTGTGTTGACTTTCCAAAAATATCCTTGATGTGATGTGTAAAAGTAAGATGTGATATGTAGATTATTAGTAAAAAAAAGTATGATGTGATAGGTAGGATATGATAAAGTAAGGAGTAAAAGGGGTTTTTTAAGGGAAAAGAGAAGTTTATTTGGAGACAAAAAAAAACGAAAGGGGAAGTTTATTTAGGGACGGAGGGAGTATTATTTTTGATATAGGAACTCCAACAAAAATTAAAGACTTACACTCCCTACAATACTTTACTTATTTTGTCACAATTAAAAAAATTACGAACATAAAGACTACTGTATTTGTCAATACTTCAATATGTTGACGGTCAAACTGTTTTATATTGAAAATCATAAAACTTACTTTCTTCGTCCATGAAACATCTTCCCTTATTGACTTTTTGAAAATTTAAGGAAGAGATATTTTTGTATTGATTATCCAAAAATACTCCTGATGTAATAGGTAGAGTATGCAAAAGTTAGAAGTAAAACTAGTTTTTTAATCGATAAGGAAAATCTTTTGGTGATAACAAAAAAATGAAAGGGAAGATTTTTTTAGAGACGTAGGGAGTAAATTTATTGTGATACTTTATAGAAATATTTGCACTAAATAGCAATAAAATTTAAGTTATTTTCCTAAATATCACTTAAATTGTTTTATTCTCTAAATAGCACTTAATAATGTCCAGTGATTGCGAACATTTACTTAAATAATGAGTAATGGATAATGACTAAAAGTGCTACATTGGGAAAAAAATACATGTGATGTTATTTAGAAAACGTCAATATGTTTTAGTACTATTTACGTAAATTCCATTAACTTACTTTATACAAGTATTGCATGGTTAAGAATTTAATGAATAACATAAACCAACTTTGGTTGGGTGTGATTTGAATTTAACGTGCAGGTTATCCAGTGAACATAGTGTATGAACACTATGCAACTTTAGCGCCGTTGATTCGTTACCACTTGAACAATTGTGGGGATCCATTCATTGAGAACACTGTTGATTTCCATTCCAAAGATTTTGAAGTTGGGGTTTTGGATTGGTTCTCTCAACTTTGGGAAATTGAAAAGGATGAGTATTGGGGGTATGTCACCAATGGTGGCACTGAGGGCAATCTCCATGGCATTCTCCTTGGGTACTTGATTTATTACCCCTTTTTAAATGTGAATATTTCATTACGTGTAGGGTGCCTCTACGGATGACGATAAAAAATGGTTTGTACATACGCAGACGATAATCATGTGTGTTTATAGACGGTTATCGTCTGTGTATGTAATATAAATCATCTTTGATTGTCACCAGTGCATGGTGAGTTCGTCTCATTTTTCTTCTAGTATATTTTCCATACATATATATAGAACATTATTATTAATTTAATAATAAATTAATTTAAATGTGGCTAATTATTATTTATAAATATATAGGAGAGAGGTACTTCCAAATGGAATATTGTATGCATCAAGAGAATCACACTACTCGGTCTTCAAGGCTGCACACATGTATAGAATGGAGTTTGAAGGAATCGAGACAATGATCAATGGGGAAATGGACTACAATGATTTGAAGTCCAAATTGCTTAGAAACAAGGGCAAGCCAGCCATTATAAATGTCACCATTGGAACAACCTTCAAAGGAGCCATGGATGACTTGGATGCGATTATCCACGCGCTCGGAGAGTGCGGATATTCGCACGAACAATTCTACATCCACTGTGACGCGGCCCTCTCGGGCCTCGTTGCCCCATTTGTAAAAAACGTCCCGAAAATCACGTTTAAGAAGCCGATCGGGAGCGTCACGATTTCAGGGCACAAGTTCCTCGGTTGCCCGATGCCATGTGGCGTCCAAATCACGAGAAAATGTCTCATCCACAATCTCTCGCGGAACGTGGAGTACATTGCCTCCGTGGATGCCACGATTTCAGGCAGCCGAAACGGGCTGGCCCCAATTTTCCTATGGTACAGCCTGAGCACCAAGGGCCGGGCCGGGCTCCAGAAGGATGCTCAGAGGTGCATAGAGAACGCGGCACGACTGAGAGACCGCTTCCGTGGGACGGGGATCAGCACCATGCACAACGACAACAGCATTACGGTCGTGTTTGAGCAACCGCGTGACAAAGAGTTCGTTCGTCGTTGGCAACTCTCTTGCGTGCGCAACATGGCGCACGTTATCGTCATGCCGGGCGTCACAAGTGATGCGCTGGACAACTTCTTCAAAGATTTGGTACAAGAAAGGGCAATGTGGTACAAAGATGGAAGGGATCAACCTCCTTGCCTTGCAGATGATCTTGGCCCCAATAATTGTTACTGCCCCCTTCACCAACAAATATGATCTACCAGATTGACGATACATCAATAATAAAATTTGATCCAATAAGCTCGACGGCCAAATAACAGATTTCTACCAGAGTTGTGCGTATTAATTCACTATATATGAGTTTGTGTTCGTCAAATTTTGAATGTATGTTTGTATTGATGCATAATGATATGATATATGTAACTTTTCTTATCTTAACGTATCTATTCAATTTGACATTTTTCTAGTCCAACTATATAAGCATTGATCTTTGTTAGACATATATGGAAAGAAGTCTAGTTATAGTAGAATTGTTATTTATGTTAGTTTACTTATTTGGTGAATCCTAGTCCATGTAGGGATCCTCACCTATATAAACATCCATGTACACAATTATTCCTTAAGAGTGAATTCATAAATCAACATGGTATCAGAGCACGGAGATCCGTCTCGACCTACTCCGTCGCTGCGTTAACCGAAGAAGAAAAAAAATCAGCGTTGCCGATCTGCTTCTCCCTCGCACCAGCTTCCGCCGTGACCAGTCATGGCTGTCTTATCACCTGATCCTATGGATCATCTTCCTACGGGTCTCAAATTGTTTGTCCGAAATCTTCAATCCCTAACTCCGGTCAAGCTTGACGACACCAATTATCCCTCTTGGTCTGCTACTGTTCGTGCAAATCTTCTTGCTCATCGCTTACTCAGTTATGTTGATGGATCTGAACCATCACCACCGGCTCTTATTCTTGATGAGAAGGCTACGGCACCAAGCAAGGATGCACCCCCGGTTATGAAACCAAATCCAGCGTATGAATCATGGCTTATTGTTGATGCTCAGATTCGGGCCTGTCTCCTTGCGATTGTTTCCCCCACTGTTCAGACTCATATTCATGCTCTTCCCACTTCTGCTGCAATCTGGAATCATCTCGAACAACGGTACAATTCTCTTTCACGCACTCATATTTTTCAACTGAAGGAGCGCTTGCACAGTGTTACTAAGGGCACTGATTCAATGCAAACGTACTTGGATACTGTTCTCACCATTGTGTCGTCTCTCAAATT